CAGAATCCTTCTTAACATGACATCTTAGGCAGCTACTACCAACTCTACCAAAACTAAGTAAAAATAAATTAGCCAGGTATAGACATGTCTATAGTCCTAGCTACTTGGGAGGCTGAGGCAGGAGCATTACTGGAGCCCAGGAACTCAAGGTTGCGCTGTACTCCAGCCTGGGTGATGACAGAGCGAGACCCTTTTTCTAAAACTAAGTTAATTAATTAATTAAAAACTTGTAGCTGGGCATGGTGGCTCGTGCCTGTAATCCTAGCACTATGAGAGGCTGAGGCAGGTAGATTGCTTGAGCTCAGGAGTTGGAGACCAGCCTGAGCAAAAGCAAGACCCTGCCTCAACTAAATAAAATTAGAAAAAACTGAGCCAAGAGGATCACTTGAGCCCAAGTTGGAGGTTGCTATGAGCTATGATGCCATGGTACTCTACCCAGGGACAGCTTGAGACTCTGTCTCAAAAAAGAAAAACAACGTTTTGGCTCAGTGCCTGTAGCTCAAGCAGTTAGGGTGCCAGCCACATACACTGGAGCTGGCAGGTTCGAATCCAGCCCAGGCCACCAAATAACAATGACAACTACAACCAAAAAAATAGCCAGGTGTTGTGAGTGGGCGCCTGCAATCCCAGCTACTTGGGATGCTGAGGCAAGAGAATCATGTAAGCCCAAGAGTCTGAGGTTACTGTGAGCTATGACACCATGGCACTCTACCTGGGGGCAACAGCTTGAGACTCTGTCTCAAAAAAAAAACAAAAAAGTTTTCCAAACAAGCAATTGAGGTAGCAGCCATAACCACAGCTGTCTCATTGGGTTCCTACTAAATTACTTACTCTGCAAAGAGAAAACAGCTCTCAGCTGTGATCCTAACTCCTCCGTAGACAGTAAATTGGACCCATCTGTACACAGCACCCTACCCTGCTTTGGGAGCATGTTTACAGTCCAGACCAAAGGGTTTTCCCCTGGAGACTGTGTCTCTTGGACCCGAGTATCACAAAATCCATCAGAGATTAGAATCCCCTGGGGGCTCTGTTGAGGCTAAATATTCCTGGACCCCTCTTAGCCCTGCTGGATTAGACCCTTAGGAAGGGGCCCTGAGGGCTGTGTGTGGGACCAGAGCTACAGGTGGCTCTCATCACCAGGGAGGTTTGGAAAATGCTGTCTTGGGGTTCAGCGGATGAATTCCAAAAGTTTGAGAACCTTTAAAATTCTACACAGACCTGAGTGTCATTTGTCCTGGGGTGTCCATAGCTTTAAGTTACATTCTCTTTTTTTTTTTTTTTTT